GTTTAGGTTAAATGTACGTTACAAGATATTATTTAAAAAATACAGAGGAAAAAACCGTAGCTTAAAACCCAACTTGTCTAACATTTTTACGGGAAATGTGATAAATTGAATTCAATTAATTTTTCATTCTAATTAATAAATGTATTGTTCACATAAAAATAGCTAGGAATTTCTCGCAGAGGGGTTTATAAACTAAAACAGGATTTTGTTTTAATGTCAAATGAACACATTTTCTTTTATATCACTTTTTACTTCTTTTTTATAATTTATTTGGATAGCGTCCAATTTTAGTAAACTTCTTGTATTGCTTTTGATAAAATAATAAAATTGTACTATAAAACGTTTTAATTTAAAAACTTTAATCGCTTAAATGGATTTTTAATGTTATAATTTAATATTTCCACGGTTGACCTCATATTCCACGGTGTTTACAAAGCACAAAGGAATTATAAATTATTATTTACCTATTTTAATAACTGTGTACTTAATATAAAATACACATATACTTTTTAATAGTTTGGTTGTAAAATATTTCAAGTGTATTTCAACATAAAAGAAAAATTGAACTTACATATTTGTATTAAATTTATTTTGTATGTTTCTCGAGTGTAACTATTATAATTATTGTTAATTTTTAATTTGTTTTGGAACAAATATTATTTTAATTTTGTTGACCTTACCCAATGCACATAAAATTATAATATTTTAAAAGTTGCCGTTAAAGTTTAAACAAAAAAACATTAATCATAATTTATTATTAGACAACATATTAAGTAATACATTTTAATATTGTGTAAATACTATACATACAACATTCATATTTGTCATAATAAGTATTATGTAGGTAAACAACTATCGTTGAACTCTGGACGATAACCATACCTAATCATTAAAAAATAAAATTGTATATATTTTGTTTAGTGTATCTAATTATTAAAACTCATGCGGTGGGCACAGTGCACACACACGGCACGCTATACGTGTATTATTTTAATATTGATTATCGATTTTATAATTATTATTATATTATGCTCATTGTGCTCGTGTTAAACGGAAACGGGTGCACTTTTACCATTACCTACCGTTGATTTAGTACAGCTGTACAACGTTTCTCTGATTTCATAAAATCGTAAAAGTTATAAGGTTCTTAGACTGCCAAGCCCTCCCCCCTCTGATCTCCACCAACGCTACGATATCATTATTACCGATAACTAATTAATTAAATAATCAAAATCGACATTCAAATGATTTCGTTATAACGCAATTTAGATAAATTTCTATATGATCACTGTTCGGTGCAATATATTTTACATTAATTAATTATACACCATTCGATCGTTCAATGAAGTAGTGTGTGTTTATTTGATGTATATGTGTATATTTTAATAAATTAAATGATATATGATGTAACAAAAAACAAAAAATTAGTTTCAATTATTTATACATAATTATATATTATAAGTAATTTAATATAGGGCGTAGCATAAATGTATTTATAATTTAATTATTAAATAATAACGCTGGTTACGTTTATAATATATTATAAATAATTAATGGTATATATTATAATAATTCGTCGTTCGATAAAGCAATTATCGTAAATGCCATTTGGTTAATAAATATTGACCTAGTTGAGTCTAATCTGCATTATAATCGTTATTACCGATTATATGGATACTATTAAAAATTAAATATGTACGACTCGTATAATAAGACAATGATGGATTCATTTGGTTAAGTTTGACTTGCAAATTGCATTTCTGCCGAGTTACAAAATATAATATAAAAAAAGAAAATAATATTGATTTCAAAGGCGCACATAGTATACGTTTGCCAAATTTATGTTGACTTTTTTGTTCAAATGGAAAAGATTTTTTTTTAATTTTTAGTGTAGTATATTTTATTGAAAAACATAAGTACTTTATCATAGTCATTGTCAACATAAATATTTTCCAAATAATGTACCTAATTATTGTTCTCAATTCGTCAAAATCAGAACATTTACATGAAAAAAAAACCCATTATTAATTAATATTATCGTTAAGTGCGTTAAAAACTAGTGGTTTTTTTTGGGGGGGGGAGGGGAAGGGTAACAAGGTGCGCTCGTGGCGGGGGTACTGTAATAATATTGTAAAATTGCGTATTAATTTTAATATATAATGTACTTATTATTATAATTATTAATTGGAACGGCGGCGGCGATAAGGAGACCGCCGATTAAAATATTATGTTTTAATCAATTTAATTGTTCGGTAATTATTATAATATTATTATTATACGAGCAAACGACACGCGAACCGATAACGACCGTTGATAATAATAACGCACACCGAATTAGGCTTGCACCACCGTCTGGGTTTTTTTTAAATAGTTTTTACATAATGATTTTTTTTTCTTTAATGTTTATAATATTAGCTACAATGGGTGTACGGAGTTATACTCTATTATTCCTTTCGCCGCTTCCTGTCGTACCGATAACACAATATTGTTGTCCATAAGTCCATTTTTGGTAATTGATTAATTAATTAAAAATTCCCGTCGGGATGTGTCAATGCAATATTTTGTCGCGGACACATAATATTATCCATATATTATTATAATAAAACACACAAGTATAGCTGTAGGTACCTATATATTTTACGTTTACCTAATATCTATATAAGGGGGTAGGTATATATAGACAACGCACAGCGCCGGGGTGGAAAAAAACCGTCTAAATTACTGTTGTCAAATTGAAACGGTTTAATGGGCCCGTGACACGCTTTATTGAAATCAGCTCTTCGAAACTTTTGTACACACACACACACACATTATCCGGACGGTCGTGAGACGAAAGTAATTTATTTTGTAAAACAAACAAGGCGTACTTGTGTGTATGTAAAAACACATTAGTACATATATATGTCATCATATTTTGTGGAGTCCCAATTAAGCACAAGCGGGACCGCAACTGGTGCACGTACGGTATATATATATACGTAGGTATATACTAGGGAAATGACTGCGGTAATTATATGGACGGAATTATAATCCCTTACAATAGCAATAGCAATAATAATAATAATAACATCATTTAATAACGGTGAACGTTTAAAGTTTCTGACGTATTGAAACAAAAGCAATGTACGGCCGTATAAAGTGATTAAAAATCCAAATGGGCTTGAAAACGAATTTCCCCTCCCCCCCGTCTGGCGCTCTAGACGATTACCGGTATTTTTCCGGCAATATCCGTCATGGCATAATCGTCTCCTTACCTCCCGCCCCTCCTCCCACAAATACCAAAATTAACTATACGGATTCGATTGTTAATTGTTATTATTATTAGTCTTAGACATGTTTTGTAAAATTTGACTATTAGGCACCGCAAACGAACATGATGATAATACAATAGGCAGGTATATAACATTGTAAACTCATCCGAGGAGGATGAAACGCATAAAAAGTATACCGCACACGCATATCGCAATGTGTATGGAAGGCAATTATTAAGTTTCGAAAGTCAATTAGGTATTATTGTAATATATTATTATGTAGGTAGGTATTGTAATGAAAACGTCGTACTGATACAAATAATTAAACAACTTGTATAGCTTTAAGTTGAAAATATATATTTTGTTGAAAACGACCGGCTCGTGTAACTACTATAGTCAATACACATGCCAAAAGACAATAGAGCCGATGTTGTCAAAAGCTTCTTGTATTATGTTCATTTGATTTGACGGTCCATTAAATCCGAATGAACCGATCAGTGTTCCGTGGTTGACGGAGAACAACAACAGGAACATTCACAAAACCCAACATGAAGCATTTAAAAAATAACACAGGTTGTAGAACAAAATTCAATGAAATCTATTTCTATGTAGGTATGTACTTATTTTACTATTTAGAGATATTGAAGTGCATTGTCTACACTCATAATACACCTAAAACATTTACTTCTCGATACCACTATATTCTTTGTGTTCACAATGGTCGATTGCACTACATTTTAGTTTTTTGAATATCAATTGATCCAAAAAGATGATTCAGGATTCTTATTAAACGATAAACTTATACTTTACACTCATCTCTGCCCGTAAGGCACGTGCGAAAAATTATTTTTAATTTTGCTTCCCTGCGGAATGTTGTATACAAAGTCAGTTGAATACCCTTTTCCGTCCTGAGAAATAGGTATTATCAATAATTATTTCGAATAAACAGGTCTAGAATTGTCGAGTCAAATCCTCTATCTCTCTATCGACAAATCCCTTTCAGACACCATTTATTGGTGCACTCACTATACTCGTTATATCAACCCTTATATTTCTCTATACTTACTACCGTCATTGATAATTTTTTATTCTCTTTCTCAAAAAAACTATTTTAATACAAATTAAAATAGATTATAGCTTCATTTTTACCATGATCGATATAATTCATTATTTTTCATATTAAAAACACTATAAATCTTATAAAACTGTGTATTCCCTTTCCTTATACTTATTATATTGTGAATTGTGAATTATGAACACCTATAATGTTTTATATTTAATATATAATATATATAATGTATACCTACATACTACCAATTACATTTTATATAATATTATCACTAAAATAATATATTAAGAACAAATGTTATTAAATATACAAGAATATATTAAGTATTAATTAGGTAGGTAAGCTATTGCCAAACAAATTTGCTTGATTCATAATTAAACAATTAACATTTAATATGTTAGGGAGTATCATATTTATTTAAATACATATTTAATGTGGGTGCCCGTTAAAAATATCCTATTTGCAAGTATTTTATAAAATTAATCTCCCTAGATTTTGGAATAATTGTCGAGTTAGCTATAAGTAGTAGTTATATTATACGTAAGTTTTATTGCTTTTGCAGATTGCATTTACTTTTTGGATTGTAAATTTTCTTTGTCTTACGAAAAACAATGTTAGATAATTTTGGAAAATACCCGGCATGGGATGCAAGTAATAGTACAGGCTTATGAGCTGCTTACCTCCAGATTCCTGGTCCTTGTCGTCCCGCTTCAGGCCCAGTATGGCGTCGATGGTATGGTGTTTTGGCGCGGGCACGGACGTGGCCACGGCGCCGGCGGCCGCCACGTGCTGCGGCCCTTGGAACGCCAATCCCAGGGCGGTGACCGCGGCGTGGTGTCTCCTGATCAACATCTCGATGTTGGCCCGGCTGTACGGCGGCATATTCTGCATCGCGGCCGACACCTCGTTGTCGCTGTTGCTGTCCGTCTCCATGATGATTGCCGACAGCAGCAATATAGGTACACACTGTGAACACACACAGACAGACACACGGGTTAAGTAAACACGACGGTAAACGGAAGTCTGAAAATTGAAAAGGAAAAAAAAACGTTTTCTTCGTCAATGCCCTGGTGTATAATAAATAGTTTGATTAAAACCGAGAGAGATGGGCCAAATCGGACAACGCGGGCAACGGCTACGACGACGACTACGGCGGCCGCGGTCTACGCCGCGTTGCGGTGCGCGCTCGAGGCCCGCGGCGCGCCCGGAGCGAGAGGCGCGGCTTGCCGGACCAATGGCGCGCCGGCTACGGGCACCCCTCCGCTCAAAATCATTACCCAAACCGCCGGCTTTCGAATAAACGGGCCACTTGTGTGTGCACCACCCTTCCCCCGCGCGCCTGGCCCGATGGACATCCGGGTATAATTCGATAAATGTTCTTTTCAACAAAAAAAAAATGCCCCCCCCCCTCGAGGAGAAGGACGGGGCCGGCAAACGAGGGATAACCGATTCGGCGTACGGGGGAAGGGCGAGAGGTTAGGTTAGGCGGCGGCAACAACCAGAGAAACGCGTCCCTCTTATTTATTTACTAGCGTGTAATGTTTAAATGAGATGTTATTGTTTGGCATCACACACACACACACACAAAACAACACGGTGTATTACACAGAAAATTTGTCGCACCGCCGGCGTTCACACCCGAATAGTCGTTTTGTTTCGAACCCAACCCGCAAAGGCGTCCGCTCGATCCTTAATCCTTACCGTCGTTATTTATTAAATAATATTGTATTCTTATTGCAGTAACAATGCACGTAATATAATAGCGTGTATTAACAATTAAACATACTTAGTAATTAAAGATGATAATAAGCAAAAACGCAAAAATAATAAATCACAAATAACTGAATCGCTAAATACAGATAGGGCACATGTGACAATTTTTACAATAAAGTGATTTTACAAAAATCACTTTATTGCATAATCAAATCGCCGTGCCCAACAAAGAACAACACTAATTTACTGTATTACCTGCGAAAAAGTTAATAACTCGAATCGACCAAAGAGGTTCTGAATAACACAATTGAATTACTACCTTTTTCGCCGATAATACAAAAAAGAGTGTTATCAGTTTAAAAAAAAAAAATTGGTTTTTAAAAATCTAGTTAAGTCGTTCTTTTTTGGACACGGCGAAATGTAATAACGATAAATATATGATTCCGTGTAAACGGAACACGTCCCTATAAGTATATAAATTATAAGTACCTACCCGAAAAACAAGTTGTGAAAAATTTCGTTAATTGCAGAAAAGGCCCTTGTCATGTGGATGAAATCAATAGTTAAATATTTTTCAGAAAAATTATCTATCAAGTTTTTGTCTTTTCTGAAAAATTTTAAAATCTGGACATGTGCCCTTTCTGTATCTAGCGATTTAGATATTTGTCTCTAAAAACACTTAACAATCTAAAATAAAGTATTAATAAGTATAAATTATCGAGAAACAGTTTACAAGTTAAACATGTTGTAAATATGAACACGAAAACAAATCTTAATTACTTAGTACGGTATTAGCCGGCGAAGAGAAAATATTTAGCTCTAATATTGTTACCTAATAAAAAAATGTGTCTTTATAATTTATTTTTTCTATTAACTGATGACGACAGTCTATTTCATTATGGAGTAGATTATACAGAAATATTATATTAAATTGATTCCGCTGATTTTTTAAGAGTTGATATGTTGAAGAAACCTTAGACGCCATTAAATGACGAATGGAGAGGTTAAAAATAATTAAAACGAATAAAATAGTTTTGTATTGATTCTAAGTGGTGAGTATGAAGAATAGTTTTGGGTGGCCAAATGACAGTAGCATATTCTAGCAAGCGGGTGCTTGTCTCACAATGTTGTTGTGGCCGAGTCTGTTAACTATATAGCTGTCCATTTGACTGTGGTGTGTTTGACATCTCCGAGTTTGTTGTCCCTTAGTCTATACCATTGTATTTGATTGAGTTGGTTAATTTTATTTTTTATTTGTTCTTATATGGGCGTTAGCAGCTTGTCTAGTGTCTTTCGATAATATATATATTATTATTATTATTGTCAGCTTTTTTCTATTCTCTCTCTACTTCTCGCCCTTGCTCATTGAACACACCCCGTAACCGTTACCGTGTTTATGTGTGTAATAGAGGTAAAGCACCCGCGGTGCGACTGTTACACTTATAATATTATATTATAACGTTTAACGAGCACCTCGGTCGGATTACCCAAACGCTTAACGCAATCCCTCTCAAAAAATAGGCCGAACCCAGTTAAAAAAAAAAATTGTTTTTATTCAAAACCGCACCATTTTCTATACAAAAAATAAAAAAAGGATTACGCAACCGGTGCTATAGAAACCGGTCGGCGATAGAAGGCGTATGTTATGTGTCAAAATACGGCATTAGTAATGGCCCGAATGTTGCCCTGTTGAATAATATGTTTAATACATCTTCATCGATAGGATATGATCAAAAAGTGTACGCATTAACTTAAGTGTAAAAATAAAATACCTATATATTTGATGAACCTAATCGCTTTATCAATCTACATAATTACTACACAATATTAGTTCAGTTGGCAGCGGTTAATAATGTGGTGCACTCGAAACGGCCATTTAAGAGTTATATCTAGTCATTATGTATATTATTTCAATTTCGATATTACATCACCCATTGAGGCATGTTATAAATTATAATTATGGATCTGTGTGACTATATTATACAGCCATGTACCGTATACAGAGCAATCGGAAACGCTGCAGCCAAAAGGGAAAATATATTATTGTAACTTTAGGCTTGCTCAACCAGATTACTTTAAACGGTAGTTTAGTCCCCAGAGATTTCGTTTGCCGTTTTTCACTTTTCGTTTCACATCCGCGTGGTTACATAATTAGCGGTTAGTTAACTGAAGGTTCGAAAAAAAACCTCCAAAAAAGTAACACCAAATAAGAATTGTTTAGATGGCTTGCAATCATATTTGACCTGGAGGGCTAACCAAACCTGTTATCAACTATAACTTAGGGCATTATTTTTACCATGACGTTTCCCAAACGATCTTTAATTATAATTGAAATTTGAATTTTTCTATTTTTTTTGGTATGCTTATCTTGAAACTATTGTTTGTTTAAAATACATGTTTTATTATTTTTTAAACTACTTACAAAACCCAACGCAAATAAAGAACCGACGTTTTTAAAAATTAAGGAATTTTTATAAAATGTCTGGATATTTTAATAATCAAGCTACGGTTGCTGATATAGAAGCTAATATTAAAAAAAAAATAGATAGAAAATAAATAGTTTGCTTTGATGTCTAAAAATAATACGTCCTTGCCCCTCCCCTCTTCACAACATACATATTAATCAAGAATATATCTTTGGTTCAGTTTTCAATTTCTAGCGTCATAAGGAATATATTATACTTATAGTATTTATAGCAATAATAAAACAGTTTTATGGTTTTATTATTAATGAACCCCAACGAGTAAACTCTCAACAAAGATACATGAATAACTGCGGTTGTGATAATATCCTATTTGACAATCAAACAAAATATAATTCATCTTGCGATAGATCAAAATTGGAAATCTAACAACTGTAATATCCATCACCGTTACCTACTACTAAGTGAGCTCATAATCCTTACATAATATTAAAGCATAATAGACCCCAGCATTTCCACAAGGAAATTCAATTTAGACTATCAAAAGACAATAATTTAATACATGTATACAAGTACATAATGCTTCCAACGGGGAAGAGCTTATTTAATATACATACATTGTGTACAATGTAGTTGTTGCATAAGAGTAAAGACAATAATATAATATAAACACTGATTGAATATAAAGAAATAAGAAAATTTTTGCTAATAGTTATAACAAGTTAACTGTCAAATCAAATCGACAACGTTTCAAATGTTTAAACTAGTTTCGGCTAATGGAAATATAATTGGGTATTATATAAATTAATTATTACTTGATTACAAAACTATCAGATAAATAACTATTGGAAGAGGTATACAAAAAAAACAAATATTAACGTGAGTTATCGACTTTATTTTTTACTTGTACATAACTAAATGTGGTAATTCATTTTCTAAGCTTTAAAATTAAAAAAAAATAGGATAAAACATTTTTTCAGGGCTAAGTACAAAGCAAAGTTTTTATAGGATTAAAGGTCTGAAAATTAAACTGAAGATAGTGTGCGTTATAACATATACAATTTTCTTAAATATCTGTAGTCAAACTTGTAGATCAACCCTAACCGGATCCCCTCCAATACTAAAAATACACTTTTAAGCATGTTAAATTGTCATTAGGTACAATATGCCTCTATCGATATTTGTATTTCTTCTACCGTTATTGATTCGAATCGAAGCGTTTATTTAGAAGTGATTTTTTCATTTTTAGTTGTAATAATTTCTGTAGACCTGTGACCTCCCCCGCCTCAATATGATGCTCTGTCCCCACTATGGTCCGACCCACGGTTAATAGAAAGGCCGTGGACACATACTGCGGACTTTGACTTTATCACAAAGTATTTTTTTCAACAAATTCTTAAATAATATAATATATATTTATATATTTTTTTATACAAAAAGCAATTCATATACGTAATAACAGAATGTTATGAGGTACTTTTTTGACGCAGGTCCCGCTTTTTTTGACACGAAATCAAAGCAGAATGTATATAATAATAATAATATACCTACCTACTCGGCTACCAATCATCAGTCACTGCCAGCAACGGGCAACGTGGCTCATTGGTCGTTTACGTCAAGTTTAACGGAACAACAACAGCGGACAGCGGCTATAGAGTGCAGAGTGCTACTGTCGAAACCATTACTATACTGGCGATATGAAAATAAAAAAAAAGGTCAAGAACTCGAAGAAATAGTGAAATCATAAAGTCCAAAACATGATGTCCGATATTTTAGATTTTCTCGGAAAGTGCTATAACACAGTTTGAGTGATAATAATTAACGTAGGATCAATTGGCGTTCATACTACCTGTATGTATCTAGTAGTATAGATTTTTAACAGAATGTATTTTAACAGCGGGTGATTCACTAACTACGAACCAGTAAAAATATTAAAACATATCAGGCCAGTTGCACACATATCGATTTTTCCCGTACGGCAAAATATCGTACGATCATAA